ACAGTTCTTAAGTGAAACTGTTGACATAATCAAGCACAAGCATGAAAACAGAAGCAGGATAGCTAAAGAAAGACCCTTGTTTTGTCAGAAAGTTGTTTTTCTTATGTATCAGGAGAAAACTAGGGCACAGAATGCAAGTATTGTGATTAACTTCCAAGAGAGGCTAAAATTATCCTGGATTATAGAAATATAATCCAGTTTTATTTCCTGGCACCAGAAACAATTCAGCGCTGAAGATATATGAAGGGTTTTGGGGTGGTGGGTTTTGGGTTTTTTCACATGTTGGCTTGGTTGGGTTTTTTTTTTTTTCAAAAGTTCTATAATGAGGCTGATGTATTTTTAAGAAGCATTCAAATACAACCTACCTATGCTGAATATTCTGTAATGGGCACTGGAAGGTCAGCTTTGTCCTAAGAGTAAAAATATACTGGCTGAAGCAGTGATTTTGACTCAAAGATCAGGAAACAGGCCTTGTAATTTGCTGTACCTACAGCAGTGGCTGCCATTGTGCTTTCTACCAAGTAAGCAGATGTCAGAGCACCTAGAAAATAAAATCTTTTCCATTTCTCAGAACGCTCTGTGTACTTTCACTTGCCACATATTCCCTAGCTTTGCTCTTTTTACTGGAATGCTCCAAAGCAGTGAGCTCTCCCCATCCTGCTGATCTGACATCTGAAACTGGGATTTCTGGGTCAAAGGACAGACCAGCTCATTTCTAATAGCAAGAGTGATGCAGTGCAGAGAGTACGTGTGACAAAGATAATTGTAATATAAAGGCCAACGTGTATCACCTATTTTTACACCAAAGCACTCAGGAAATGTGCTGTGGATAATTTTATTTCTAAATGTCATAAACTACGGTAGCAGTTTGCTCAATATATACTTAACACTGCATTTTTATGACTGTCATACACTACTCATTAAAACACCTCTATACTGGGGATGTTGCTGGCAGCACAGGGACAGAAGGTTTTGAAAAGCAAAGATTTAAGACCAAATAAAGTGATTCTTTCATTTTCAACACTGCCTCGTCAGTTGATCTCAAAAAAGAAAGCTTTAAAATGACATTTCAAACTATAAGCAGCATTCCTGAAGCTTTGCCAAAAGCTTTCTTGTGTCACTGAATTGCATATCAAGAATTTTCAACTAAAATGAGCTCTGAAGGCTGCTTCTGCACCTACAGAAGGCAGCAACTCCCACTGTAATTGCTGGGTAGTGGGTCTGAACAACAGGCTGCCATTCTAACAACCATCAGCACATATTTCCCTATATAAGCACAAACCAACAAGAAACACGACTATCAGCTGTAGGAGGAATGATTTGCTCACAATGCGCTCTCTACTTGCTCACAAAACTGTTTTGAGCTCTCTCTTTTCAAGTGCAGCATTTTACAGACAAGCAGTGAGGGTTTGTTTCTTCAGTGGAAAATACACCTTGCACTTCACACATAAGCCAGCCCAAATGTTGCTTAGTGCCACTGAAGTTCCAGTATTCCTTTTCCCCTCAGAGGACACACAGCTGCTTGCCTCTGCTCTCCTGCAGGTAGCTAGCTGGCTCCTGCTGGCACTGCAGCACTATGTCCTGTGGATTAACAAGCAGATGCAATTGCAGTTAAATCAGGCAATGCTATTTCTACTTAAGAAATCCCTTCATTTTCACAGGACTTAAATGATAGCACATGGCAATAAATCTGAAGTGGCTTTTCAAATCTGCTGCTGATTCTGCACTTTTGAAATTTTTTTTCAGTTCAATTTCAGAAATTTAACACAGCTACCAAGAAAAGCACTAAGAGCAAAAAAACATTCACTCATCTAGCATAAACCTACACACAAACCCAAATAAAGCATCTCAGTGCTGCAGCTTTAATCTCTGCTGGCATAAAAAATTAACTACCGTATATGTTCACGGAGTTATATCAGATTTAAAAATCTGAGTAGAATGTACATTTTACAGCATTCACTGACTCTGAACTCCTGTTTAATACAAAGGAAACAACAGCTGGCCCTTACTGAGGTCATTCACTGGCACCCCATTGTTTAAGCTTAGCTTTTTACATATTTGGTCAATAATCTGGGTCAAGTTTTCTTTCATACTTCCATTCCCCAGCCAGATGTTCAGAGAACATAGTAAATGCTGCAAACAATCATCCATAAAATCCTTACAGATACAATGCAAGGTACAGTTCTCTCTTCCCAGCAGCCCAGATACAGTTCCCACATCCTGGGCAAGACTGCCTTAAGGGCCAACTCCAAAACCTCTCAGCTTTCCTCAGCCTAGGCTGTGCTAATTTCCTAATCTCCCCATCTAGTCCACGGAGAAAGACAGGGAACTGTTTGATAAGACATCTGTCCCAATGTCCTAGTTTGAGCCAGGACAGAATCAGTTTTCTTTTTTAGCAATTTCACTTTTCAGTTGTCTCATCTAAGTAACTGCACTTTCTGAAATGAACAGCATGTTTTTCAGTCAGTATCTGCTTCTAGGACTGAGAATACTCAATGCTTATAGCTAGTGCTTGAGAAGAGTATGCAGAAAGCGTCAGTAACAAATGAGTCTAGGGATCAACTATGGTGGCTATAGAGAGTCCTCCCCAGATGCCAGCCATGAACAGAAGAATGGGAAGAAAAAGCAGGGAGAGAGGGGATTGATTTCTGTCATCCCTGAATTACATATGGTGTGGAATAGTCTCTGGCCAACTTTGCTGTCTGTCTAGTCCACTCCACCCTACAGGAAGGTTGCAGGTAAGACTCTTCTTCTCCTTTAGCATTCAAAACCAAAGCAGAGCAAGGTGTCCTTGATGTCTTGGCAGTAACATAAACATTCCAGCATTATCAGCCCGCTAGCTGGAAAACTTGCTGTGCTACGTGAAAGACCTCACTGAAGAAAAAAAATAATCAGTAAAAAGAAATTTTGCTTCATCCTGGCTCAAACCAGGACATGTAAATATTTAATTATTTTCTTTTTCACTGTTATTGCTTTCATTAAAGCTGTGTAGGTTAGTTTCCAACCCCTAAGTTTTTCTCCCTTATTCTCCTTCCCTTTCTGGGAAGGAAGGGGGGTTAATAGAGAGCATCTGTCATTAATTTAATTGCCAATCCAGCGTTTCAACTTGACACTCAATATTACATGAATGTGATGAGCTGCCCCCCAATGCCTAGTGTTCTGGTGACTGTAGGGGAAATCAAGACGCCCAGCACAAGCAACCTTGGGAGAGCCAAGTCCTAAAGTCTTTTTGTAACCAATGAGGAAAAAAAAAATAATCAGTATGTAAAATCATGACCAGCCAGAAGAGCTAAATAGGTCATGATTATTCATTATTTCCTCACAGTACAATAATGAGGACAGGCAACAAGCCAAAAAAGAAAGGGAAATATTTTCCTACACTATTCTACTGTGCTACTCTCTGCCTAAGAACATTACAGAAGTAAAGTATAGTTTCAAAAAAAATGGATGGCATCATGAGGAAAAATACCTAAAGGTTACTGAAAACAATGTGGCTGCAAAATGCCAGCTGCTGGAAGAACAAAAGAAAATAAAAAGTTAACTATTGACAATAATCTGCAACGTTCATTTGCAGGTGAACTCTAAATGTAGTCTTGTAATGCTTATTTGCAACACTAGGTGGCAGGGAGAACATAAGAGTTTATCTACAGCATTGTGAAGCTTGAATGTAGTTTCACTTGGCTATAGCTAAGGATTAGTACAATGCAGCAGTCTTGATTTTGTACAACTGGATTAGCTTTGTGTTCCTACATAGGCTTGAGCAACATTTTTCAAGTACAACACTGTGTTCAGAGTTAGTGGTGCTGGAATATGGGCCAATTCCTTCCTTGAGATGCCTTGTCTTCTCATTTGAGAGCACCCGGACAACTGCCACGCTTCTTCCTCTCCAGAACAGTTCAAACAAATGCAAAATAGATGCATCACGGTCATCACTTCAGTAAAGAAACAGCACTGTAACATTTACCTTACACCTCTATTTTTAAAAAGCTATTATTTAAAATTCGCATCACTTGCGTGCTACTTGTAAAAATACTGCAAAGGGACATTAATGAAAGAAGTTGTGCAACTTGGGCAGCAGCAAAACAGGCAAGCCAATGCAAATTCTTCAGGCTATACTGATCCTCTGTCAGTCTGCTCTTCGCCTTCTGCAAATAGGAAAAAACTTCATTCAGACTTGTAACATTTATTCAAGATCTGCCTCAAAACTTTACGAGAAAGGAATGATCTTTCTTCACAAACACAAGCCAAGTTTTAAAACAAAGATGTGTGTTTATGTAAAGGACAGCACCTCTGCACTGCAGTGCAACTTGCTTTTTTCCAAATTACAGACATTTCCTAGAATGCTGCTGACATTAAAAGTATGACATTTAACTCCTGCTTCATTCACATAATTAAAAGAAAAATGCAGACAATTATTGGCATAGTTACTAACACTCTCCCTTTAGAATAGCAAAGTCAGCACAGGATAGTCACTCTTCTAATTCAGCTTTGTATGAGTTTCTTAGCTGTACAGAAAAATGCTGATGACTTCTAGCACATCTTTTAAAAACATGCAGGGAAAAAATAAGGTCAGCACACTGCTTTTCAAGCAGTAACACACAAGAAGGAAGGCCAAGTAGTTAAGCCACAGATTAGAAGTTACACAAAGGAGTCACTGAAAGTGAGCTTAACACACAAACAAATCACAGAAAGGCACTGAACTGGATTTTCATTTTCACAGTGTTTGATAACTGGAAAGTTTGTTTCATTTCTAAAAATAAGTTAATACAAAATTTTTAAAAAAACACTGATGTGCAAGCCTTTGCTGCATAAAAGGAGGTACATTTTCATACTTTAAAACAGTTTAAAACATTTTTACATAAGGAACAAAGTTCTTTTATATAAACAAAGTATTTCTTAGCCAACAGCAGTTGTAAACACCCAAAACACAAAATTAAGACAAGAGAGCCAGACAGTCTAAGTCACTGCCGTCTGCATCAAAAAAATTATGCTACCCTTTTCTACAACTCATCATGCTTGTATGTGAACTCCCTTGCAGATATAAACCCATCACTGTCTTCATCTTCTTTATCAAATATGTCTTCAACCAAAGCATCATGCTGGGTGTCATTTACCATTGCTCCATGCCTTTCAAATTCTTTCTTCAAGTAAATTTTCACCTTTGAAAGAAAAGGTGAGAGTTAATGTTTTTAGGCTTATGAAAGCATTGATTACTGTATCATAAGGAGGGTCACTATGTTCAGGGTGGTAGCGTTAGACAACAGGTATTTCCTTCCCATGCCGCTGCCAGAATAACACTGGTCTGAATGATTCTGTAGCCCCATTCAGTGATGAAAGACTCTTTAGAAATATAAGAGACAGTAAAACTAGCAAATCAATTGCAATACTTTTATGGTACATGATTGAAAAATGAGCAAGGAAAACGTCTCATGTGATATCTATATAATGAAGTATAAAGAGCTAGGCAGAAGTTACTGGGTCCCAACTGGTCAGAGATTCAAACAGCTTTTTCAGATCCTAGCAATTTGACAAACCAGTAAATGTAAACAGCCACCCCAAATATATACAGAAATCTGTCCACAATCTCAGTGTTTGCTGCGCTAATAGAAACTACCTTAATAAAGATTTACTTCTAGGTATCTCAAAATCTTGAAGGAAAAAGATTCAAGGTGTCTTTTAAACATACTGAAACTGTTATTTACACTAAGCTAGTTACAATGGTAAGCAGCATTTTGAACACCACCAGGTTATTGTTACTAAGTTTAACTATTGAGATGCCAGTGTTGTAAATTGCAGAACATTCTACAAGAATATTAATACCAACATGCCCACCACTTAAACAGATAAAACAAGAAACTGTAACAGTGGATTGTTAACTGCAAGACAAAAGGGCCGTGTTTCAGATCTGTTTCATTTGTTTCACATCCTGGTATTTGTTTGGGTCGTTGCTTATATTCCTAAGACACACACACTGGACACACTAACACAGTACAAAAGATTAAGTCTTTTGGTTCTAGCAAACTGTACCAGCCCCAAATTAAAAAACATGCAGTGGTTTATCTTAACTTCTCATGGATTGCTTTTGCACATTAAAAAAGCAGCAGACTAAAAATAAGATACAAACATAAGGTGAATAATGTTGACTACATGTCCTTCAGACAGTGAATGCTATGAAGCAAGACTGCCCTACAGCAGAAGAATTTCTAGTTCCAGTTTATTAGTTAGTTCCAGCAACTAACTCCAAAAAGCCCTAAAGTCTGGTTTTATTTCTAAGATGTTTTACTTCATCCAAGCCTCCCATAAGTATGGAGCACACAACAGTCACATGCCTATGCTTCAGCTTACCAAGGCTACTTTTGGAACCTCAGTCCAGCAGTTCCACTGGGATCCAAGGCTCAGTGTGGTGCAGCACAGATGTGCATCCTTGGCTTAGTTTTACTGAAAAAAATCTATTGTTAAGGTGCAAGAAAGTATGTGAGCTGAAGCCATGCAAGAAAGGCAAAGCACAGACAAGAGCTTAATTGCTGAGCCAGGAACAGTAGTTTAGGAGCATTCAG